ACATTCCTAAAGCCTCCTTGTTCATCTGCTATCCTATTCTCCGTCTTACTCTTAATTCTTTCCTCATTAAGAACTCTAAATACCCATACACTTTACCAGGTACATCAACAGACACCCCCTATAATTTTTGCACTCTCTTTTACCCCCTTTGCCTATTATACAAAGGACCTAATGCATGCTCTCTGCCAATCCCTAGGTACCTTACCCTCTTCCAATACATTTATTAAATAATTGCACACAACCACTCCAAACTATATCCCCACCTTGCTTTTAACATTCTATCTTTATCCCTCATCCCCGCGCTTACCCCCTTTCATTTTAACCTACTGACTCACGAACTTTTTCCCCCACACTCACAACTGGCTCTTCCTCCACTCCTACTAAGATGTATTTCCTCCTTGCCCTATAACACTGAAATCACACAGCTCCAGCTTTCCCTATCTTCATCAACATTTTAACAATTCCACAAAATATTCCTTCCATCTTCCCAATACCTCAAAAACTCTCCATTTAATTAACGCTCCTCTCCTATTTTTAATGACAATCCATTTGTTCTCTATGGCTTTCTTAACTTGTTAATCTCACTCCAACAACCTTTTTCTATTTTCAAACAAAATTTGTTGAAACCAATCTCACCCACTTCGTCTCATTTGCTCATCATTTTTACATTGCTTCACACCACTCCTTAACTTCTCTCTTTTTCTCCATATTAACCTCTTTCCCACCTTGGCATCACTTCTACTTTGTAAAAAACTTCTTCAAATAATGTAACCTTTTCTCCTTACTACTCTCTTTACATCATCATTTCCACCAATCTCTCCTCTTCCCCCTGGACCCCAACTTTCCTGTAACCACAAACTTCTGCTGAACACTCTAACACTACATTTTTAAACCTACCCCATACCCTTCGACCCCATTGCCTATGAGCTCATCATTAGCCCATCTATCCTCCAATAGCTGGTTTATTATCTACCCTAACTGTGCCTCCTCTTTTTAGTTTATAAACCTTCATCACTCTTCTCTTCCCTGAATGCTTCTATCTCCTTGTATCCCATCTACCTTTTACTCCTCAGTGACTACAACTAGAAAGTATCTGATATATCTGTGGCCCCCTCTATAAAACATGTACATCCTGAAGTCTACTCAACAGTCTTTTATATCTACCAATACATAATCCAACAAAACTACTGTCATTTTCGCCCTACAACATATCGTGTAAACTTATTTATCCTCTTTTTTTCTTAAAATATGTATTACCTATAACTAAACCCCCTTTCTTATAATAACAAAGTTCAATCAAAGGGCTTCCCCATTATCCCAAATTACCACTGGCACCCCAAACTTACCTACCACACCCTCTCTAAATTTCCTCCTACTTTAGCATTCAGTCCCCCTACCACAATTACTCTCATCACTCGGTTCATAGGCTCCTAAACATTCACTTAACATCTCCCAAAATCTCCTCTCTCTCACGCACTCCCTTCCCCTGCATTCCTCTCTTCTCCCTGGTGCATTATTAACGCTTATTATGACCCAACATTTCTCGCATCCCAACCTTTACTTTAAACCCACATAATTCTTGAATTTACACATTCATATTCTCTTTTCTCCTTCCATAACTGATCATTTAACATTACGCTGACCCCTTCCTTTGCTCTAACCTCCTCTCTCAGATACTCCAGATTTAATCCCATTTATTTTCCCCCCCCCCCACAGAAACTCTCCTACCCCCTTCGAGCTTTGTTTTTCGCTTAGAGGGCCAGGACATCCAACTTCTTTTTCACATTCATAACATCAGCAAATCATCTTTCTTGTCATCCTCCCTACACCACGCACATTTAAAGCAACCCCAGATTTATAAAGTTTTCTTCCTCTTTTTATAGGTAATTGTGTATACGGAGAAGGTTACTAGCCATTGCTTCTCCCGGCATTTTATCGCCTCATACTAACGCATGGCTTACGGAGGAAAGATTCTTTTCCACATTCCCCATGGACAAAGAAGAAATAAAAAAAGAACAAGAGCTATTTAGAAAAAGGAGAAAAACCTAGGATTATGTATATATATAATGCATGTGCGTGTCTGTGAAGTGTGACCAAAGTGTAAAGTGGAGTAGCAAGATATCCCTGTTATCTAGCGTGTTATGAGACAGTAAGTTTGTGGCTACCAGGAAAGTGGGTTGCGGGAGGAAAGAGGAGCGATTGTGGAAGATGATGTGAAGAGAGTATTAAGGGAGAAAAAGTTAGCTATGAGAAGATTTTACAAAGGAGAAGTGATGCAAGGAGGGAAGAGTATATGGAGAAAAAGAGAGAGGTTAAGAGATGTGGTGAAGCAATTTAAAAAAGAGAGCAATAAGAGTTGGGTGGAGATGTATATCAACAAATTTGTTTGAAAATAAGAAAAAGTTTTGGAGTGAGATTAACAACAGTAAGAAAGACATAGAGAACAAATGGATATGTCAGTTAAAAATAGGAGAGGAAGTTATTGAAATGGAGACTTAGAGGTATTTGAGGAATATGGAGGGGAATATTTTAGGAATTGTTAAATGTTGATGACGATAGGGGAAGCTGGATTTCGTGTATAGGGCAAGGAGGAACAACATCTTGTAGGAGTGAGAGAGCCAGTGTGTGAGTGTGGGGGAAGTCGTGAGGCCAGTCTAGGTAAAATGAAAGTGGTAAGGCAGACCGGGAATTGATGGGATAAAGATAGAAATGTTAAAGCAGGTGGGATAATATTTTTGGAGTGGTTGTGCAATTATTAAGTAATGTATGGAAAGATGGTACGGTACCTAGGGATGGCAAGAGCATGCATAACCTCCTTTGTATAAAGGCAAAGGGATAAAAGAGAGTGCAAAAATTATAGGGGATAAGTCTGTTGAGTATAACCTGCAAAGTGTATGGTAGAGTTGTTATTGATAAGAATTAAGAGTAAGACGGAGAATAGATAGCAGATGAACAAGGAGCTTTAGGAAAGGTAGGGGGTGTGTGGACAGGTGTTTACAGTGAAACATAAGTGAACATTAATTAGTATAAGGCTAAAGAGGTCTTTGGTGGCATTATGGATTTGGGAAAAGGCGTATGACAGGGTGGATAGGGGGGCAATTGTGGCAGATTTGCAGGTAGGTGTAGGAGGTAGGTTACTTGGGGGAAAACAGTGAAGAGTTTTTAACGAGATAGTGAGGCTCAAGTTAGAGGTAGAGGAAAAGAGGGCAATTATTTCCCCGAAAAATTAGCCTTAGACAAGGATGTGTGATGTCACCGTGGTTGTTTAATATATTTATAGATGGGGTTGTAAGAGAAGTAAATGCGAGGGTCTTGGCAAGAGGCGTGGAGTTAAAAGATAAAGAATTACACATAAAGTGGGAGTTTCACAGTTGCTCTTTGCTGATGACACTGTGCTCTTGAGATTCTGAAGAGAAGTTGCAGAGATTGCTGGATGAATTTGGTAGGGTGTGCAAAAGAAGAAAATTGAAAGTGAATACAGGAAAGAGTAAGGTTATGAGGATAACAAAAAGACTAGGTGATGAAAGATTGGATATCAGAGTGGAGGGAGAGAGTATGGAGGAGGTGAATGTATTCGGATATTTGGGAGTGGACGTGTCAGCGGATGGGTCTACGAAAGATGAGGTGAATCATAGAATTGATGAGGGGAAAAGGGTGAGTGGTGCACTTAGGAGTCTGTGGAGACAAAGAACTTTGTCCTTGGAGGCAATGAGGGGAATGTATGAGAGTATAGTTTTACCAACGCTCTTATATGGGTGTGAAGCATTGGTGATGAATGTTGCAGCGAGGAGAAGGCTGGAGGCAGTGGAGATGTCATGTCTGAGAGCAATGTGTGGTGTGAATATAATGCAGAGAATTCGTAGTTTGGAAGTTAGGAGGAGGTGCGGGATTACCAAAACTGTTGTCCAGAGGGCTGAGGAAGGGTTGTTGATGTGGTTCGGACATGTGGAGAGATTGGAGCGAAACAGAATAACTTCAAGAGTGTATCAGTCTGTAGTGGAAGGAAGGCGGGGTAGGGGTCGACCTAGGAAAGGTTTGAGGGAGGGGGTAAAGGAGGTTTTGTGTGTTAGGGGCTTGGACTTCCAGCGGGCATGCGTGAGCGTGTTTGATAGGAGTGAATGGAGACAAATGGTTTTTAATACTTGATGTGCTGTTGGAGTGTGAGCAAAGTAACATTTATGAAGTGATTCTGGGAAACTGTCAGGCCGGACTTGAGTCCTAGAGATGGGAAATACAGTGCCTACACTCTGAAGGAGGGGTGTTAATGTTGCAGTTTAAAAACTGTAGTGTAAAGCACCCTTCTGGCAAGAGTGAATGATGGTGAAAGTTTTTCTTTTTCGGGCCACCCTGCCTTGGTGGGAATCGGCCAGTGTGTTAATAAAATAAAAAAAAATAGATAAAATAGAAGTAATACGAGCAAAATAGATAAGAATTTGGTTGACTTGAATAATGTAATTGGCCTAAAATAGGAGTCAAAGCTGGGATAAATGCCGATGCATAAATATCACTGACAGCAAAATTTGCGAGTGTAATTTTTTCAGTTTTCCATCAAATTTCTTACTTTTTGTTTTATTTTTCTTCAGAAAAAGATTCTCTGCCATTTCATAAGAATTTTTTTTTTTTTTTAATTCTTTGACCCTTTGGACAAGTTTCAGATCGGGGATCTGGACCCTGAAAGGCTTAATAATCAAAATCTTGATCTTAAGTAACTTTTAAATATTAGGGTTAGCTTGCCTGAAATGCATTGCATAATTACTAGCTTTCTTTTGTGCCTTCCAGTTTTTATTACATGTAAGGTACATTATTTATTCTGCTTAAAGAAATAAAAATTGTATTGATTATATTGTATGGTCTCTTGAACCAATGCAGTACATCAGTATTCATAAGCCATTTTTTTTTTTTTTCATTCATGAATCTTCCTGAATTTTGGTCTAAATAATATTGTATGATGTCATAAACTTTTATAAGTTCATTTTAACTTAAACAAATATTGTTATTAGGTGTCAGGTTTACTACAGCGTCGCATGGACTTGGCAGAGAAGCACAAAGCAACCATCGACCGCTTAAACAGTCTCCAGCAGCGCATTCTCGATGAAGAACTTATTAACTGGAAACGGGAACAACAAATGGCAGGAAATGGAAAACCTTTTACTCAAAATAAACTTGACCAGATACAGGAGTGGTGAGTATATTTTCTTTTATTTAACTTGGTGGCCATCTCCTGTTGAGATAAGGTGACTCAAAAAAGAAATTCTTTCAACATCATTCACACCATCACTGTCTTGCCAGAGGTGTGTAACTACAATAGTTCAGATATCACTCTCAACAGCAAATATCCCCACCCTTCCTTTAGAGTGTAAGGCACTGTACTTCCCATCTCCATGACTTAAAGCTGGCTAATGATACCCTCCTTGCACTCCAACAGCTTGTCTGTCCCAAAAACCATTTGCCTCCACTTATTCCTATCTAACATTATCACTCATGACTGCTGGATATCCAAGCCCTTTGCACACAAAACCTTCTTTTCTCCCTCCCTCCATCTTTTCCTAGGATGTTCCCTGCCCTTCCTCCCCTCCACAACAAACTTATACACCCTCCAAGTCATCCAATTTTTCAGCCTTTCCTCAGCTCTCTGGATAATACTTTTAGGAACTTCACACCTTCTGATGTCCAAACTACAAATTCTCTGCATAATATTTGCATCACACATTGCCCTCAGACATGACATCTCCACTGCCTCCAACCCCTTCTCACTGCAACATTCACAACCCATGTTTCACACCCATATAAGAGGATAACCCAAAAAAGTCAGAGTGACTTATTTCCATTGCCTTCACTCAGAGCGTCATTTCTTCTCAAAATGATGTTATATGAGAATGGGAGTGCTCTTCTTTATTTATTCTACCGTATCAGTGTAGAGACAACCTGTATACATTGTAACTTGTACACAAACCAGACGTGTACACTTTATTTACAAAACTTACCTTCCCCTGGTTTGTTTACATAACTCGGCGCCTGTCCTCTCTCATGCACTCATTCTTTCTCTCTCTCATTTATTCGTTTTATCCCATTTACTTACTCCTCACCCTACATTAAGACTACAAATATTTTAAGGTAAGTAATGAGTGTACATACATTTTATCGCTCTGGGATGCTTAAATGTCATAGAATATGTGTGTGGGTGGGTTGGCCTGGTAAAGTAGCCCGGCTGACTACCATACATACCACATTTGATTTTTTACAATAAATACTACTCATCTCGCCCTAGATTAAAACTACAAATATTTTAAGGTAAATAGTGAGTAAACTGTTTGTATTTTATCGCTCTGGGATGCTTAAATGTAATAGAATATTATGTGTAGGTGGGGTGGCCTGGTATGGTAGCCTGGCTGACTACCATACATACCACACTTGATTTCTTACAACAAATACTACTTGTCTCACCCTGGATTAAGACTATAAATATTTGAAGGTAAGTAATGAGTGCACTATGTGTGTATTGTACTTTTTTATTGTTTTTTGATGCCTAGTTCTATTGCTAACTTAATATATGTTAGTGTAAACTTGTTATCTAGTATACATAGGCATTTATAAGTGGAAAAAAAGGGTGTTCCACTTTACGGCGATTTCTGCTTTACGGCGGTAGCCTGGAACCTAACCTGCCGTATAAGTGGGGCACTACTGTAATCCGTTGTTTTTGGCACTTGTTTATTTGGGGCCACCATGGCCCCAAAGAAAGCTCCTAGTGCCAGTCCTTTGGTAAAGAAAGTGAGGAACACTGTAGAAACGAAAAAAGAAATCATTCAAAAATATGATAGTGACATACACATTGCAGAACTTGGGAGGATATATGGGAAGGCTCCATCAATGATCAGCTCCATTGTGGCAAAGAGAAAAGAAATCATGGAAGCTGATGTTGCAAATGGGGTGAATGTGATAACCAAACAGAGATCCCAAACAATTGAAGTGGAGAAATTGTTGCTGGTGTGGATCAGAGAGAAAGAATTAGCAGGAGATAGTGTTGTGCAGTCAATAATTTGTGAAAAGGCAAGGCAGTTGCATGGCGATCTCATAAAGAAACTGTCTGAAATGAGTACTGATGTTGGTGAATTTAAGGCCAGCAAAGGCTGGTTTGAAAAATTCAAGAAGCGAAGTGGCATGCACGGTGTTGTAAGGCATGGTGAGGGTGCTAGTTCTGACAAAAAAGAGGCTGAAAAATTTGTGCGGGAATTCAAAGGCTGAAAAATTCCAACCCCAACAAGTGTTCAGTTGTGACGAAACAGGCCTGTTTTGGAAGAAAATGCCAAAGGGGACCTACATCACACTGGAGGAAGAGGTACTCCCAGGATCCAAGCCTGTGAAAGACAGGCTAACTCTCTTATTGTGTGGTAATGCTAGTGGGGATTTCAAAGTAAAGCCTTTACTGGTGTATCACTCTGAAAATCCCAAAGTGTTCAAGAAAAACAGTGTTGTCGAGAGTAAATTGTGTGTAACGTGGAAGGCTAACAGTAGGGCATGGGTCACTTGGAAAATTTTCCTGGAATGGTTTAATGAGTGTGAGGAAATACTTCCTGGATAATAAATTGCCACTCAAGTGCCTTCTGTTAACCCTTTCAGGGTCGGCAGGCCCTCTCCTAACCCTGTCAGGGTTGGTTCCGTACTAGTACACGTAAATTCTAGCGGCTTCAAATTAAGCAGGAAACAGCTGGTAGGCCTAGATGTGAGAGAGTGGGTCTGCGTGATGAGTGTGCGTGGTAGGAAAAAATTCTGGGACCCAGTGGCGCATTGTGGGAATGCCATTTTAGTACACCTTGCTCACTGTGCCTCGCGGTAAGAAACTCCTCACTCCTCGGTGAATTGGGACACTTTTGTTCCCCAGTGACAGTTCTAATACAGATGGAAGTGCCAGTGAAGATGAGTTTCAAGGTTTTGATGAGGTTGTGACCGAAACTAATGACCATAATACCGGTAATAGTGAGGAAAACCCAGACAACACTCAGCCTTCCACCTCTGATGCTGGGCTGTCATGTTCATGTTCAGTTGTACCAGAACCAAAGAGGAAACTCCTATTTTCCCTTATCCCAGACTCAGATGTGAACATTGGTGGTGATAGTGAATATGAACTACGAACTCTTGAAAACAGTTCCAGTAGCTATAGTGAAGTGGAATATTCTCCAGTGAGGCATCAGTATATGACAGTGCTTGCGCTCTGGTAGTGTGCCATATGCTATTCCAAGGGGAAGGAATACATCTCGGAGTACATTCCGTGGCTGTACAACAGGAACAGATTGTGAAAATGAAGATGATAGTATTGCAATTGGGATGGAAAATGTGCATGGTGGTGGTAGTGGTGGTGCCAGCCATGAGGCACCAGCCACTAGTGGGCCATGCTGCCACCCATGCCGCTGCCTCAGCTGATCTACAACAAAGGCCGTCATCCTCCACCCACCCACCACACCAGCCTCTACAACTGCAACCTCCACAACCACAACCTCTACAACCACAACCACCTGTCCATATCCAGTTCCCACCAGTAGACTGCACCTGGGATTGGGAGGAAGCTGCCAATTTTGTTCCAAATCCCCATCAGTTTGATGAAAGCCAAAGTGGAATACGGCCATCTTGTTCACTTGGGAACAATGCCACTGAACTGGAATGTTTCAAGTTATTCTTTGACGAACCCCTGATGGAAATTATTGTCAAGGAAAGCAACAGATACTTCGATTACACTATGGCAAACACAATACTTTCACCAAACTCTTGCCTACACCAGTGGAAGGAGACAAGTGTGGCTGAGATGTATCTTTTGTTTGCCACAATAATGCTTATGCCACATATGTATAAGCACAGTGTGAAATCATACTGGTCGACAGACCGCCTGATTGCAACCCCAAGTTTCAGTGATATAATAGGAGTGAATCGATTTGTGCTACTATTACTTATGCTTCACTTTTCAGACAAAACCAGGCCTGACAGAAATGACAGGTTATATAAGATTAGGAATGTGTTTGTGTATCTGAAACAGAAATTCAGTATGTATTTTTATCCCTTCAGGAAGCTTGTTATTGATGAGTCTTTGATTCTGTTCAAAGGAAGACTCATTCAAGCAGTACATACCAAGCAAGAGGAAATGGTTTGGTATAAAGTTGTTTGTGCTTTGTGATTGTTACAGTGGTCTTGTATTGGATATAATTGTGTACACTGGAAGTAATACATTGCGAGATACCAGGAAGTTACTGGGTATCTCCAGTGATGTGGTTAGAACAATGATGGAACCATATCTTGGTAAGGGACATACATTATATACTGATAACTGGTACACAAGCCCCTTACTCAATGATTTCTTGCGAGTGAACACGACAGATGTGTGTGGCACAGTGCGTGCAAATCGTAAACATATGCCCAGGTTTGATGCTGGCACTAGTAGAGGCGAGGTGCAGGCATTTGCTGCCAATGACATCACGGCATTTCGGTGGTATGACAAATGAGATGTCACACTATTGTCATCAGTTCACCCTAATGAAATGGCAGACACTGGCAGGCAGCATAGAGAAAGCAATGAAACCATTCTAAAACCTGCAGCTGTGATTGACTACACCCTCAATATGCATTCATTGGACAAATGTGACATGCAGATTGGGTTTGCTGATTGTGTTTGCAAGAGTTATAAGTGGTACATAAAACTCTTTTTCCATGTTCTGAACATTTCCATGCTCAATGCTTATAATATATACAGTAGGGCCCCACTTACACGGCGGGTTAGGTTCCACGCTGTCGCTGGAAAGCAGACATCGCCGGAAGGCAGAATGCCATTTTTTTTCCATTTATAAATGCATATAAATATCAGACAACAAGTTTACACTAAATTATATTAAGTTAGTAATAGAACCAGGCATTAAAAACACACAAAGTAAAATACATTCACAGTAAATTCATTACTTATCTTAGTATTTGTAATCTTAATGTAGGGAGAGAGGTGAATAGTACTTATTTATAGGAAGTCAGGTGCAGGTAGCCCAGGTGTAGGTAGCCCTGGCTCCCCGTCGAATACTTAATATACGATATTTAAAACATACAGTACACTCATTATTTACATACAGTACACAAATTATTTACCTTAAAATATGTGTAGTCTTAATATAGGAAGAGAGGTGAGTAGTATTTATTTGTAGGAAGTCAGTG